CAAAGGCACATGACCTTAGGAGCATTCTTTCTTCTAAGTCAGCTTTTACTCTGTCAACTTTTTCCTTCTCTCTAAAAACTCATCTTCTAAATATTGTTCTGCCTTCTCTCTAAAATACCACCATGTTGAACCGTTCAATTTTTGAATAGGTGGTGCTCAAACGTTCACCACGTCAAGGGCTCCGTAACTTATGATAACAATAAGTGGTGCAAAGACGACCAATAGTTTGACAGTTATACCAATCCGGATGAGTCTTGTGAGTGTTTGAGTCATGTTTTAAAGTTTTATGCCTTGATTGTTCTTTATATGTAGCTAAGCACGATGATATTTATTTAGCTCACCCTTGCTTCTTTGTTGTGTGCTATTTGTGTATGTTTTCCTTTACGATGATCATCCACTTGGAGCAAAAAGTTGGAGGATGTCGATGATGCAGTATAGTATTTTTAGGATTTCTAAATTTAAGTTGGTGTTAGTTTGAAGTACTCTAAACTGTTTAAGTTTTAAGTTCTCACCTTTTGACCTTTTGTGGATGACTGTAATATCAGCTACTGCTACTGAACTAGTATTCTACTTTGACTTCTCTTTATTGGAATGTGAACGCCTAAGTTATATGATTGTGGTTATTATATATTTGGGATGTCATTCTACATTTATAATTATTATTTAATGTTTTTCTAATTTATTTATTTTTTCAATACTGTTCTTATATATATATATATATTTTTAAAAATACTCAATACGACTCATTTTCTTAAAAAACGGAGGATGGCATATAATTTCAACTTCACAATCTAAAGCCGTCTCTCCTTTCAATTACTCTTTGAACAATAAAAATTGTATTTTTATATCCAATTAAAAATTTACAAAAATTACATTAAATTTCGTATTGATGTAGTAGTTCCTTCCTGATTACACTTATTAATAATTAAGAAGTTATTTTATATTTTTTTTTACTGTTTCGTGTGAAAGTGTGTTTGCATATATAATATGCTCTGATTGAATATATTATAATTGACATAATTAAAAGAATGATGATGGAGTTGTGATTGGTTCAACGAAAATGTCGATCCTACTTTGAAAAGAACAACATTACTGGTAAGAATTTCATCCGAAAAATATTACACGTTTTTTTAGCATAATGGGAAATCTGCACGGCTTTTGAATGAACTGTAAAAGAAATCTGCAATACTGATATGCTTGATTCTTTATTTTCACAACCCAACATAAATCTTTGTATAGAGTTAGAAATTAAATTTTATAATCTATTTTGTTCATCAGAGAAAAATGAAGAAATTGAAATCAGATAAGCACTTTTAAATTAAATTTGTTGTGTAGTGAAAGAGAATAAAAAAGTGTTAAATCTGGGAAGGATATCTGATGAGAAGCACTTTTGAATTATAATTTGGCGTGAGAAGTCCATTGAAATTATTTGTTTTTCTAAAGAGAAACATTCCCCACCTTATCATTTTGGCATGGAAGCATCTTTTTCAGCTTTATCTCAACATGCGTTTTATTTTTTTAACAATAAGAAAAAAAAAAGGCATATGATAAGATTGTATAGTAGTTGTTTTGGCAGTAATGTGTTGTCGAATTTGACATGTTTATTGTAGCCACCTGTTTTAGTATTAACTATTTGTTGACCCTTGTAGGTATATGGTTCTCCCTATCACCTGTTTGATGTTGTCGGAGAGTCAGCTTTCAACAACTGCCATTATTTCACCTCAACGGTGTGCTTCCAAAACATCTTCTAACATCACTTCAATAACATATACAAATGCATTATCTACATTGAGCGTGCTTATATATTTTATTCTTCCATGCTTAATTCTCCCACGTTTATTCAATAGTAGTAACAAAGATAATTGAAATATTTTGTTTAAAGTTTTAAGATATCGTTTAAGAATTAAATCAATACAAAAATTTTATTCAAAGAGAAAAATAATAAGACATATTTATAATATATAAATGGATATAAATATTATCTTATAAACTAGATTTTGTAAGATTTGGTTAAATTTAAAGTTTATAACTTAAGATCTTATCATAGTCATAACGAAATTTACTATTTGTTGGATCTATCTTATTACTGGTTATTAAATGTTTGTTGTTTATTGTACCTATCATGTTACCCATTATTGAAAATTTTATTGTGTGTTGGATTTATCATGTGACCCATTATTAGGAGTTTGATTGTTAGTTGGACCTATTGTGTCATTATAATCAGGTCGTTGTCATACCACCCATTAATATCTATTTTCCATTAGAGAAGTATATAGAATGGGAGAAATGTGTTGGAGATTTCATGACTAGAGATGAGACAAATTTATAATTGGGTGCTAACCTCAGATGATTTTGTAAGATTTAGTTAAACTTAAAACTTACATTTTAGATGATATCAGGGTCATTTAAAGTTTATCATAATAAGATTTGTTGTTAGTTAGATCTATCATGTCACTTGTTATCTAGCAACTATTAGACTATTTATTAATATCTAGTCACACAGTCAATATGTGTGAGGGTGTGTTAAAGATTCTACCACGATTAGAAATCAAACAAATTTACAATCATCTAACAATGTTTAATTTCACACTTCATATATATATATATACACACGCATTGAGGTGAGAGTTATGTTCAAAATCATATAGAGACTAGAGACTAGAGATATGACAAATTTATTATATATAAGTAAGTAGGTGAACTTAAGTTTAAAATCCAAAAAGTTGAGTTTGTAAAAAAAATTATAAGTTTTTTTAAAAATATATATTTAAATAATTTTTTATTGTTATAAAATAACTCTCGGTTTTTATCGTGCATGATAAAATATATTAATCAATTTTTTTTAATGTACCTTTTTAATATTTAGTTAAATTTATTAAAAATATGTAAAATATTATTGAGTTCATTTGTTTTGTTTATGTAACTGAAGTTCAAAATATTTTAATTAAGAAGAATATTCGGAACATATCCTTTAAGTATTTTTGTTGGCGAAGATTTACTGAAAACTATAAAATGAAAGATAGATTAATTAACTATGGAAGGAACTTGTTAAATTTTACAATTCTTAATAAACTTCAACCGATTAAAATTTAAGTCATTGAACTAGGAATAAAAAATGAACAAAAAGCATCAATTTAGAGAATTAATTACATATATTTTTTTAAAATACAAGCTTGTTTTTCCAAAGTTTTTATAGACTATAATATGATGGTTACAAACAATTTATGTAGGAAGATGTTTGGAACACTCATCCTACGGCTACTCTCTTACAAATTTTAACCAAGATCAATCTCTTTTAAAAAATAATAATCTAAAGACACTTCTGTATGATTGTCCCTTATCTAAAAAAATCGTATAAAAATAATCAGAATTCAAACTCTTAAATACCCTATATTTTTTTATGGAAAATGATACTTGAACAACCATTTTTTACAACATTTAGACACGTGTGCGCGTGTCTAAATGTTGTAAAAAATGGTTGTTCAAGTGTCATTTTCCATTTTTTATTTGTCACTAGAAAAATGTCTAGAAATTTGCTTTTTTCGTGCCGCCGCAAAAGTGCAATTTCAAATCTGCAATATGTGATTTGCATGTCTAACACACCACTTCCTCTATTCATTATTATTTTGGACAGAGTTTGGCAGAAATTTTTAAAATATAATTTTGCTGACCACTGTGCTACGTAAATCTTTCACCATTATCTTCTTCTTTTCTCTACAATCACCATATTGCACTTCTGTTAGTTTAAAAGCTCATTTGGATTAATTGATCTTTGAATGAACTTTGATTACAAGTTCGTTTAAACTTAGAATATAATTTTATATATGTTATCCGTTAATTAAAAATAAGACGAATTGGTATTGTATAATTAAGTTAAACTTCATTTTGAAATTTATTATTTTTGAGAATTATTATGTATCATTATCAAGTTTTTCTCGAATTATCAATACTATCTAATCTTAAATTTGAAATATATATATATATATATATATATATATATATATATATATATATATATATAACGCTTTTATTTTTAACTA